ACGGCTACAATTTCATCAATATCATCGCGCGCAACTCGACCAATTTGATAAAGAACGCGCGCGCATCGTTGGTTCTGTGGCAGACTAATAAGCTTCAGGACAAAGCAATGCTGAACCACGTACATCCCTTGCTGGCGAGACGATAAATCTCTGGCAGACATTACGAGAGTAGGCGCTACGGTATATTGGTAACAGTTCTTGCAAACTTAGTCCTGCTCTCTATGAACTGAGCAAAAAACCAAAACTATAACTAAGCGAATCTAAGCCTGAAAAGGCTATTTTTATATGCCAAAAAATGCCACCAAAACCCAAAGATGGATGGCTGCCGTTCCTCAACGTACAGTTATGTTTATCGGACAAAGGCTTTAAGACCAGATAGTAGCGAAAGCGGAGCAGCAAAAACATTTTAGTACACCACTCTTGAGCACATCCCGCACGAATAAAGCAGAACAGCTGCGGAGTTTCTTCTGATAGAGACGAGAAGATGCGTTCGCTGGAGCTCGCAGAATCAGTAGCAAGATCCAATGGATACAGCACGAAAACTCATCACCATCACAGATACCGAGTCCACCGTACACCGCTAGGTCGGAAGCTGAAGATCAGATCCCATTCTGTCTACCATACATCACAGAAAAGTTTAGTAGGGCTGTTCGCAGATTACTTCATCAAGCAGACCTCAACGATATGGTAAGGATCGTCGACATTCCGCCCGCAAACCTTAAACAGCAGCTAGTACGAAACCGGGAGTATGATCGTCTCTGTGCAACTCCTAGTTGTGTGATTGCAAGGGAGTAGACTGTATGGTATCAGGTGTTGTCTACCTTATAACGTGTACATCATGTGGAGACACGTATCCCTATGCACGCGCATCAAAGAACACTTAGATGGTCTCACAAGGGAAGGATGATAGGTCGAAGTGGCCATTTGGAATGAGCTGTATATCAGGAAACCGTCCTCGTTAAGGCAAACTCAAAACTACTTTCGCTAGGTGCCGAGCGGTTTTGTGGGGGGGGGGGGAAGTTACAAGGCCATTTTCCTCCGGCGCAGCCGGCGCACCCAGTGATGAGCAAGGCGCTAGAACAACTCATCATTGTGGCAGTGGCACAGTGGCAAGACAGGGGACTACGGAGCAGGTGGTCGAGGGTTCGCGTCCTGTTGCTGCTATTTTGTTTTGCAGTTCTGTAAAAAGTCTATTGGGTTACAGTAAACGAAAAATGATTTCTAGGCAGTTGAAACAAGCTATTTACTGCAAAAAAGTCACTATTTCTACAATAAGCTATAATCTTCTACAATATGTAAATCTGTGGAGGTTATGATGTCACAACAATGGATTCAAATGATATATTAACATGTATGGAATACGACCACGAAATGCTCAAAGCAGAAGGCTTCTCGCAGCGCGCGCACCTGCAAAAATTGCAATCGATTGCGATCAGCAGCTTCATTACCTATCAAGACAGGACCACGCAGGTAAAGGCAAGTGCCTAGTATGCGCATATAGCAAAAAGCTCCTCTGCCAATCATTATGATGTTCTCGCCAGCCGGATACATTGATAACCACCCCGGCGAATTCGAGTCTCCTATTCAGTACTGTTTCTCACCGACTTTGATAGGCAATTGTGAATGCTGATTGTCATCGTTTATATTTTATCCGATGTGCGCGCTGCGAGAAGCCTTCTGCTTTGAGCATTTCGTGGTCGTATTCCATACATGTTAATATATCATTTGAATCCATTGTTGTGACATCATAACCTCCGCAGATTTACATGTTGTAGAAGATTATAGCTTATTGTAAAAATAATGACTTTTTTGCAGTAAATAGCTTGTTTCAACTGCTTAGAAGTGAGTATTTTTCATTTACTGTCACTCAATAGACTTTTTACGGAACTGCAAAACAAAATAGCAGCCACAGGAATCGAATCCTCGACCATCTGCTTCGTAGTCCGGTGTCTTGCCACTGCGCTACTGCCACACTACTGGGTTTTCTAGCAGCCTCGCCCATCACTGGGTGCACCGGCTGCGCCGGAGGAAAATGGCCTTGTAACTTTCCCCACAAAACCGCTCGGCACCTAGCGAAAGTAGTTTTGAGTTTGCCTTACCTAGGACGGTTTCCTAATATACAGCTCATTCCAAATGGGCACTTCGACCGATCATCCTTCCCTTGTCGGCAAGGGCAACGTAGCTACTGGCATGCATCGCACGCAGGCTCAGCCATGACGACGCGGAGGTGGGCGTGCAGGTTCGAATCTGGCGCGTGAACCCGAAATCCTAGCGCGCAAGACACTCGAAGCGTTTTGGATAGCCGCCCAAAATCAAACGTCAACCGGAAGGACGAGTGCCTAGCCATTACTAACGAGCTGTCACCATATCAGAGCCTCTGTGGCTTTTGAATAATGAGGTTAGGCCAGGGACCGGGTCACTATTTAACTATAAATGTAAGGCAGTACAGTTTTTGACATAAGTGGTCTGCACCCACCAAATTATCATCCGCTAGGGTGAGTACTAGCTCAATCTTGGTTTTTTAAGGATGTTGTTTTTCTTAGAGGGTTGGGCTCCTTTCTGTAGTTGACGAGGTATTTGATCGGATAGTCTACTTATATGTTTTTGACTTTTCAAACTCCGAAGAAGGCGAGTTTGCCGAAACGTTAGTCTGTATTCTGTGCGATAAAGTTCTGTACCAGTCTTCGACTACGTTCATCAACTAGCGAGAAGATTACAACTATGCCAAGATTTAGGGATAGTCCAACATGGATGCCACGACCATATTTTATGTCTTTTTTGACCATGGATGTAGTGCTGGCTCTTGCTCAAACAGTCGAAGGGATACCTCCGGGGGGCAAATGGCGCTCTGCCACTTCGCGCTTTGGAGCCCTCCGGAGCCCTCCCATTTCACCCATTTTGGTGCTCCGGGGCTCCCAAAATGGGTGAAATGGGAGGGCTCCGGAGTGCGAAGTGGCAGACCCATTTGCCCCCGAAGGTATCCCTTCGACTGTCTGAGTGGCTAAAAGGCAGAAAATTTTTTCTAACACATCAATATGCAGCGAAGTAGATTCGACAGAAATCTCAAAAGACAGTTGTACAAGGTGTCGCAAAATATGCGCTTTTTAAATTGTAAATAACTTTCTGGCCTGAAGGTCTTCAGTGTAGAGGTGGCTTCAGCTTAGACTAGCAAAAACAGGACGACTTAATAATCGCTTACAAGGGAACGATACTCAATGTCCGTGGCCTTTTGAGACGAGATGTATACCATTACACTCATCTTCGAACGCTGATTCCGAATCTGGCTTCCATTTCTGCTAATGGTTTCTCTGAAAGGAGTTATGGAGGAATTTCGAGCCAAGTTTGGCCGCCCAAGAGAAATATGGTCATTGGAACTGTCCCCTACCGCGGCCAGGTTCTGGTCTAGTGGTTAGTGCGATACCTCATAAGTTGATGCAGGTGTAGGTTCGAATTCTTTTGCTTTTACTTTTGCATTGCCTCAATTGAACTTGTTCGAAAAAATTTATTCGAATTATGATATTGAATACATCTAAGCGTAGACAGTAATCATTTTTTTCCAAAATTCCACATTACTTAACGAGTAAGGGCGTTAACTTAGCTCGAGGATGCGAAAGAAGGTTAAGCGGCGCAATGCAAAACTGAAAAACGAAGAAGGATTCGAACCTACACCTGCATCACCCCTGAGGCAATCGCACTAACCACTAGATCACAGCGCACCGTTGGTGTCGGCGCTTCGAACATATTTCACTGGGAACCCAAACTCCGCGCGATCCATTATAACATTTTTGACGCGATTAGCAGAAACGGAAGTCAGATTCGGAGTCAGCGTTCCAAGACGAGTGTAATGGTATACATCTCATCTCAAAAGGCCACGGACACCGAGTATCGTTCTCTTGTTAGACTAACAAGGAAACGATACTCGGTGTCCGTGGCTTTTTAAGATGAGTTGTACATCATTACACTCGTCTTGGAACGCTGATTCTGAATCTGGCTTCCGTTTCTGCTAATCGCTTCAAAGATGTTGTAAAGGATTGTGCGGGCTTTGTCTGTCCACTGAAATATGTTCAAAGCGGCAACAGTGAAGGTGCGGTGTGGTCTAGTGGTTAGCGCGATGGGCTCATGAGTTGATGCAGGTGTAGGTTCGAGTCCTTTTGTGTTTTTCAGTTTTGCGCTGCCTCAATAAACCTTCTTTCGCATCTTCGAGCTGACTGAACGCCCTTACTCTTCAAAAAATGTGGAAATTTGGAAATTCACTATTTGCGATGTATCCAATGACCATAATTCGAGTGAATCTCGAACAACTTTAATTGAGGTAGTGCAAAATGAAAACACAAAAGGATTTGAACCTACACCTGTATCAAGTTATGAGGCTATCACACTAATCACTAGACAATAACATGGCGCCGGTAGAGGCCGTTCTGGTGACCATACCCTTGGGCGGATAAAGTTGGCTCGAAATTCCTCCATAACTTCCTTCAGAGAAACGATTAGCAGAAACGGAAGTCAGATTCGGAATCAGCGTTCGAAGGCGAGTGTAATGATATACATCTCGTCTCAAAAGGCCGCGGACATTGACTATCGCTCCTTTGTAAAATCGGAACTAAATAGAAATTTCCAGAATTTGTGAGTTTGCTGGAATAAAAAATCAAAAAGTATTTAAATGTTGCTTAGCATTGATTTCATGCGCGCTGATTTACTCAACTTTTTAAAAGTTTGCCAAGTTACACGGAGGTGTACAATACTGAGGAAAAGTTAGAAATGTCACAATATATCTGCATAGCTCAAAAATGAGTCGAATCCAGCTCTAGAAAATGGTACTGATAAATCCTCTAAGAAACTGAGCCTCACTTCCAGCCATCAAAAGCATGTTTGCGGGTAACGGAATTTTTTGCATTCCTTTGAGCAGCTATTTCATCGAAAAGGTATTAACTTCACTAACATTTAGCTTATTTCGTCAAAGAAGCAAAAGTGATCAAATATTGTGAATACATCAATAATATGTTTGCTCGAGTGTTTATGTAACAGAAAAGCAATGACTTTCGTTGATAAGTGCGAGAATTAATTCAAGACTGCCCCTCACTAAACAAAATTGCGGGTTAGTGGAGAGCCTTTTTCTTGCACACAAATGCCCTCATCGAGTCCCGGCAATGACAGTCATTCCATTTCTGATAATCATGATCCTTGTGAACCATTATATCACTGAATAACTGAAATAGTTCTGTATAAGCTCATTTGAGATAAGGCAGTGGCCAATAATCTGTAAGGGACAACAATGCTGCCAAACAAAAAGCAAACGGCATACTACCATGTTTGCTTTGAAAACAGCACCTGTGTACAGTGCTCCTCGTTAAGATTATCCGGTTGATTCGGAGCCCATGGCGGTGAATAATCAACTCTCGTGCCGTCTGTCCAGGTCCACTCTTTACTTCGCGGCCACTCAGCTTGCTTTAACCCTATCCAAGTAGCTTTTGTGTGTGTATCTCCCTTGACACCCGTCTCTGCCAGCTCTAAAACAATATATGCAACAAAAAATTTGCAGGAATCCCTTTTTGACTTATTAGGTTGGCACATAAGTTTTGCAACTTTTTCTTATAACTTTTGTCTTTTTGAATATAACGCTTCCATTTCTTGGTATTATAAAGATTGTCATGTGAGCAACGAATGCTATCATTTGCCGGGTTTCTATCATCGCATAAAAGTTATGGCAAGGCGTTTGGTCGGGAAAGAAAAAGAAATTCTCACAGAAAACTTGGCGTAAGACGGATACGGCACCTGATTGTGAAAATGATATCCATTTTGCGTGGAAGGCTTATTTTGCTAAGAAAAAGCCAAGCTACTAAAAATCAGTGGTAATTTTTGATCCTGCCAACTAGTGGATATGATCGGTGTTCAGCATGTCTACCCCACTGTGCAAAGTTTCGCTAAAATTTGACTGTTCCGACTTTCTGGACTCGATGGATTCCCGGGGCCGCTTTGACGCATTCGACTTTTTCGAGTTCACCAAATCGCATTTTTATTTGACTATAACTTGCAATTCTTTTTTCGCTAGGCTCAGTAGACAACCTCTGAGAACATTTTGCGTACAGTTCCGGCTGGATGGTTGATTCATTTTCTGTATGTCTTTGTTTGCTTAAAAACCGTGGAACCGCGATTTTGACCGCTTTGAAAACAGGGTAGATTTTTTTCCATTATGTCACAAAAAAAATCGAACAGTTCAAGCAGTTTCATAGTCGACTTCTGAATCTCCATAATCCCAAATTTGCATGCGTCTCATGCAAAGAGGAAGAAGTTATGGACAAAATTGCAAATCTTATATGCCAACTTAATAAAAAGAAGTAGGATTACCGGTCACAAATTTATTTTCCTCAAAGCTGTGGATAGAAGCCAAATGTCCTCCTTTCGTCTGACAAAAACTCTCTGCTTCGTCAAAGTTTTTCCAGTGAAATACCTACAATGACATTCTGGCAAATGACTTAGGTAAAATCAATGCTCTTTTGAGTGGAGGGACGGTCGTTTTATGTACCTCATACAAATAGATAATTTAGCATTAGTTGAGCTAAGCATATGAGATCGTAAATTATCGCACTTTCTTATGCTTGACTTACTTTTACCAACTGTAATATTCTGGAAGTACAAAACTACTTAAGTTTCAGAATCAGAGTATGCAAGACACCCCTTAAACAATTTTTATAGCTTTCTTCTCTCAAAATATGTACCATCATTATAACCTTTTTTGAATAAGTGTCTAACTGGAGGCCTTCTCAGTGGTGCTTAATCTTTGAGAACATTTAATCACACAGTGAGAAAGCATAATATTATTGTCTCACTACTGTTGATAAAATTATTTCGCGCATACGCACATACAAAATTCGTATGCATGAGATTATGAAAAAATGCGCAAAATGCAGAAGAACATCACCATGATATACCTTATAGCAAGCATCAGTCTTTTCATAGTGAGTCCAACCATCTTCGCAATGCCCGAAGCGTCCTGAAAAGTTTTTCAATTGAATAAACATACAAATTTGCTTGGACACAGGGAGACTTGACTAATACTGGTATACTCTACTGTAGTTGACAAGGTGTACGAGGCAGTCTACATAGCTCGGCTTTGGTGTCATTCTTACTTTTAAAAAGGATAGCACAGCACACGTTACACTTGCAAGAGTGGAGGCCCTCTTCCCTGCGACTGTTTGCTTTCTACCCTTTTCTCAAAAGAGTTTGATTCTTGAGATTTTTCGGTAGATAACTTGGAGTACTGATTGCGGAAGTGCAGATCCTTTTTCTTCTTTGGGGCCGCATTAGAGGACAACAAACAGATGCTTTTCTTCTAGCTTGCTTGTAAGAATATCAATAATGATAGCATGGAGCTAAGGCTGCTTCTAACAGTCTTTATGTTGGGACGACGCTAATCAAGGGTGTGAAGGCAGAAATACAGGGCTCCTAAATTGCAGAGTCGTTTGCATCAGCGGTCGCGCAACCGCGTCGCGCCCGGGCATCAATGGCGCCGCCTCGATCGATGGCGCCGGCGCCGGCAAAATGCCCGGGCGCGACGCGGTCGCGCGACCGCTGGTGCAAACGACTCTGCAATTAAGAAGCCCTGTACTTATCCTCAAATGATTTGTTCTGATTTGACGATTGGCTGGAAAAGTTTCTCATTGCGAGGTTGAGCCGAAGCAGGTCTTTAGCCTACGCAGAGTCTCGCTTTTACTCATTTCTGACAATTTGGCGGTTTCGCTAGCAGGAGTAGAGAGCGACAGGCGTTCAGGATGTTATGGTTTCTCCAAGGTCAACTTACTTAGCTAGCAGAAAGCCATTGGTGCTTCCGCCCTTAAAGCAGTGTCTACTCGTTGTCAACTCGTTTCCTAAAAAATCCACTTACTGAACGTTATCCGCAAAGCTGAATTTGAAAATCCATATTAGAAGGTGCAAAAACGGCGAGAACATGCGTTTTCCAAAGCCTGATAATTCGAAATTTGACAGTTTTCGCCAAGGCAGGGACGCAGGGTCGCTGCGAGACTCTACAAGTTCAACTGTGACGGCGCGTACTCTGCCGCATAGCAGGATCTCAAACAGGTTGGAGGACCCCTCTCCGAGGCGTAAGTTTCCCCACTTTCCAATCCTTTTTCTTGCTTTAGGCCGAGCGTTATGACCTTGCACTTACCCAATGTTGTGTCTGAGGAGGACCACTTTCGCATGGCACTGAAATCCCAAAACCCTCAACTCGCCCGGACACTGCCCTCGAAGGCAGTGGCTCGGCAAATCTCAACCTAGTCAAATTTGCGCTTACCTGGGGTTTTTCAATACGCTGTCCCGAAAATCCACTTTTGAAAGCTTGAAAACGGCGAAAATGAGCGTTTCTTAATGCCCTTCCCTTTGATATTGGACGAGTGGAGCAAGGTCGATGACGCTAAATCGTGGCAGGACCCAATGGTTATAGCGTTGCGGCGGGCAGCCTCCAAGGGTGAGAAGGAAATTGCCAAATCGTCCGGACGCGTGTAAGATTGGTCTGCGCGTGTAAGTTTGAGAGCAATTTTCTCGGTAGGGAAGGCAGGCTGTGCAACCGGGATTGCACTGTTTTCATATTTGGGCGATAAGGGAACTACCGCGTAAAAATCCTGAGTTGTTGAGTTTTGCCGATCCACTATCTTAAGGCAATCCAACAACTCAGGATTTTTACGCGGTAGTTCCCTCATCGCCCTATTATGAAAACAGTGCAATCCCGGTTGCACAGCCTGCCTTCCCTACCGAGGAAATTGCTTCCAAACTTACACGCGCAGGCCAATCTTACACGCGTCCGGACGATTTGGCAATTTCCTTCTCACCATTGGAGGCTGCCCGCCGCAATGACATAATTATTGGGTCCCGCAACGATTCAGCGTCATCAGCATTGCTCCACTCGTCCAACTTCAAAGGGAAGGGCATTCAGATACGCATGTTTTTGCGTTTTTGAATGCCCTTCCCTTTGAAGTTGTCAAGGTTATCAAGCTCTCAAAAGTGGATTTTCGGGACCAGCGTAATGAATAACCTGAGGTGAGCAAAAACTTCACTAGGTTGAGATTTGCCACTGCCTTTAAAGGCAGCGTCAGGGCAAAATTTCGAACAAATTTTTTTTCCGCTTACCTGGGCTTATCCTTCCCGCTGAATCCGAAAATGCAGCTTGCAGAGTGCGAAAATGTCGAAAATGGGCTACTGCGGAAAACTCTATTTTTGATATCGGACGAGGTTCAGACGCAGAGTCGTGGTAGGACCCTACGCCTTGACTGCGTGCGACATAAGTACTCTGGCTATTGGTTGAGGGGGCGGGCCGGTCGCCAGAGCGTCTAAGTCGCCACTTCTGGAGCGGATTTCTCACTTACTGATGCAACGGTGCTTGGACAAGAGCTTCTTCAGGGTGGGAGCTGCTAAGCGTGTTTTTCTTGTAATCGACAAACCTGCCCGGACGCTGCCTTTAAGTGCTACTGCTCGCTGACTTGATGCTATCCTTTAATCTTCTCTGCGCCTCATTGTGTACAATTCATACTGCTCTCACCAAACCTACTAGAAACCTTTAACTGCAAGCACAACTGAGGATATAATCAATGACCAGCTAGGAAGGAGATACATACGTTTTGCAGGAATTTTTTGATGGAGTTTGTTCAAATCCTTCACCTTAGCCCGAACTAACATATTATGCTTGTTGACATATTGAATCCTGTACTTCCGCCTTTCGTCGCTTGTTTTTTTTTGTAGTATGTGTTTTGTGAGCATTCTCGGCTCTAAGTAGATTGCCGTTTTCCGAAAATTGTGATAGGGTCACGAAACTTTATAAAAAACATGATGCGAAGCGAATGCAGGAATAACAAAGGTTTTTGGTGTGCATGTGAGACGACGAAGTAGTACTCATCACCAACCTGTTGCAGTTTCACAGGGACTACAGACACAACGGCAAGGACGACATGGGCGACAAAGATGTGGCCGAATGAAGGGGCAACGACGCGGTTTCGGACATCTGTGAAGTTGAGTTTTTGGATGGGCAATAAAATTCCAAACAAACTTGCAGTCTTTGTCGTTGACTGAAGCTACAACAGCTGCCAATGCGATCACCACTAACATCACGAACTCCATAGCGAAAACTCTGAACATGATAACTAGTTACTCTCGTGTAAGGTTACATGAGAGCTACCAATTCTCTGAGAACTTTCGCCTTCCTTTCCCATGGCATCGAATTTACTTGTTGCAAAATAGTATTTAACTGTCTTTTTTGTCAAAGATTTCACACATACACTCATCTATTTACGCAGGCATGACGACCTATATAGCTATCACCTAATTTGGTTATGCAAGTCCTCGGGAAGAGCTATCTCAATTCTTATCGAAGATTTGTTCACTTGAGTAGCAAGAGAAAAGCGACGAAACGGTTTGATTTTGATCTTACAAAGTCACCCAGTGCTGATTAAAGTCGCTCGTAAACCTTGGATCGAATTCAAGTGCCGAGTTACGGACAGAGCGCGCAAGCGGCGGCGACGAGCATGAACTCGGTCACAAGCAAACAAGCGTGACAGTTTGCTGAGAGTAAGCCATTAAAAACTGTCGGCTCATCTTACCCCGACCATGAACAACTATGCTAGTTATGCTGTCCTTTGATTCAGCGGGATTGGCGGCTGGAAGGCGACCGCTCGCATCCGTGACGCAGTCTGCGTCTCTCTCGCGAGCGTGCTCTCTGATCATTCCATAGCCTTGGTTAGGCCTCAAAGTCTCGCCTTCCAGCTGCCAATCCCGTTGAATTGAAGGGTATCCCCAAATTTTTGAGAAAGGATGTCAAACACATCACAACTAACATCAGAAATACCCAAACGAAAACACCCCTACTTATATGGGACTAACGAGGCTTGATAAAGCATGAACGATATTTTTAGAGTTCCTTTTTATGAGATGTGATTTATTTTAACGTCGCTATTAACCATTTTTTTATTTGTATTTCGATTAAGGCGTCGAAAGCCTTCACATTGACATGTTGTCTCATATTGCGAATGTGCGAGAGCTTCTCATGGGAATTTACAAATTGCCGAACTGTAGATTTTGGAAGGAAAAGAGGTATAATCACGAACGTAGGGATCTTCCGGCCCAGTCATGGATACACATGTCATGATTACCCTGCGTGAGTTCACTACTTGCGAACAGATGTCTCGTGCTTTCCTAAGATTGCTTGCACTAGTATCTCTTCATTCCAAGAACATTTCGTAGCTGGAGGCGGTACTGCTTGTTTTTAGGGAAGTATTCTTGCATCTTTCCGCATTTATACGCCTTTAATGCTTTTACATTTAGCGGAACTAGGACCAAATTGTTCAATTGTTTGCAAGACGTATATGGCTGACGCCGGCGACGAGCCTTTATCACGTTTCGGACCAGTGCTGCACATGGTGCAGCGCGCTGCTTTGAAGCATCTTTTTAAAGTTTACAAGATGTTTTATCTTACAAGGGAATGGTCAGAAATCGAAGTGGCCATTCCAGACAAGCTGCATACCGTTAGATGCAGCATGAAGCGCTGACTCTAAATCTATCTTCCCTACCTGCTTACCTCTTTTCTGGACGAAGCTATAAGCCATTAAAGACCATTATTTTGCTAAGAAATTATGCGTGAAATTGAAAAATTAGCCGTACAGAGCCAGGTTTGCCTCAATGCTCGGCCAAAACATGTCGCTAGCTTACTTGAAATTTTTGAAGCCAGAAACTGAGCTAAAAGCGCAACAATGTGCTTTTTTTTCTCTGTTATTATGTATGATTTTTTCACAATAAAACCGCTTGTAGCTTCGTCCACAGAAGCGGGAAGCAGATAAGGAAGACAGATTCGAAGTCGGCGTTTCATACTGCATCGAATGGTATACAGCTTGTTTGGTTTGGCCACTTCGACTTCTGACCATTTCCTTGTTAGTGTAAGGTTATCAAGTCAAAGGCCTAAGCTGCTCTTAATGGTTCTGTAGAGTTGTGCTGCCGATATTTGTTTTGGAGACATGAAGAGAAATCGAACAGCAGCTGCAGCGAAGTGCGGCAACGCGAAGGACGCTTGCGACGTCGCAACTTTCCTTCGCTTTGATTTCAAAGGGAAAAATCTTAGTTTCAATATTGATGTGTACCTTGTACGACATAGATACTTTTAAATACTATTAGAAACAGTTCTTGTTCCTATCTTTCAAGGAAGCACAGAAGTCCCTCTCAAGCAACAAATTCAAACAGTTTTAATTCACTCATAATTTTCAGCATGGAGCTTATCTGACATGCTGATTTACAGATGTAGCCCACAGTCTACGAAATAAGGTCCCTCTGCTGGCCAACAGCTGAAAGTATCATTTGATTCAACTGGCTTGGCATCGGCAAAGGCGGGGCTTCGTAATCTAATTAAGGCTAGGTAATGATCAGAGAGCACTAGCGCGAGGGAGACGCAGGTGCGTCGCGGGCGCGAGCGGCCTCATTAGATCACAAAACCCCGCCCTAGTGGTGCCAAGCCAGTTGAATCAAAGGATACACTCTTTTTCTCCGCGTGCGTTTTCACGGTCCGAAATGTGTTAACTGCTGTCACATCCTGCTCTTTGAAAAGTCTAAAAACGTTTAGTTTAATTTTAAGCCGCCACTTTTTTGAACTTCTCCAGGTACCACTGAACAGTTTGGTAAACGGCTACATTGGCTATTATTGCATAGCACATATAGCCAAAAGTTGAGGCCCCTTTGCCAACACAGAATCGCATCGTAAAGCTTTGTAAGCTGAGTTTTTACGCCCAAATAATCCAATAAATGTGATGGCGATTAATGGCGAACATCTAACGGCTGCAAATCGTGTGAACACGCGCTTCCAAACCAATTTTTAAAACAAAATTTTAGCTGTTTCAATTGCTCGTTTAATCAGCATAAACGGCTGCGATGGCAACCGAAGACCTTACAAGGGAATGCATTTGACTTGAAGTGGACTTTTTCAATGATATGTATATCAGTCGAACTGATTTCGAAGCAATCTTTTATCGTTCTATTTGATAAAGTCAGAGGCGTTTCTTGTGTTTCCAGATTGTATGGTCTGGTACTGTCTGAATGACGTAAACTGTAAATACGATTTGCCTCAAAGTTGTCTGCCGAATATCTGAGATATATAAATATTGTACATAATAATTTATTGGAAATAGCTCTGAAGCTGCTTTGGCACCTTAGTTTTGCAAAGCAACCACATTCGGTGTCACTTGAGGCTAATTAATAGCCTATAACTTTGTTCAGTGGAGCGATGAGCAGATGAAGAAGGCATATCTGTATTCAGCATTTCAGGCCCTTGTTATTATACACCTTGTTGAGGTAGGCCACTTCGAATTGAATACCTTCCTTGTTTAACAATAAGCTGAATCATTAGGCAACAGGCAAGCGCAGCAGCGACCAGTTTGGAAGGCTACTAGGGATAATGTAGGGTGTCCCGCGGGCCCTAAAGTAGTAGGCTGTGCTGGTGGAGGAACGAACGCCCCAGTTAGGCACCGCCTCCGCGGACCCAACACGATGCATAACAGTAGGACGAAAGGACCAACAGCCCGCGGAGGAGGTGCCTAATTGATATGTTTGTTCCTCTACCCAGGCTGTGCACTAAGTACTGTGACCTTCACACCGCGGCCTGAGTTGCATCTTATTCGAATATTTGACAGCGACAGCGTATCTTATTCTTGGAACATAATTCTCCTACTTTTTATTCATTTATTTACTTAATACATCATTACAGTGTAATGTGCTAGATAGTAGAGTCGCTAAAATCGAAATGATGCAAATACATACGAGAAATATGTACAGATGTGATGTTTTGCCACACAGGTTTGTTATAAGTTTTATTTATTCAGCCTAGCGTTTCGGCAGTAATGCCTTCCTCAGAGGCCTGGAACATAGTCTCGTTCAGTATTCGCTGCTTTATACGATGTCGTCCTCCACTTGCTTCATTCAGTTCGTTTTAAGTGGACGGTACTGAGTCTTCAGTCAACACAGCCCGAAATGGACGAATGTTTTCGCGAACGAGCAATCGCAATACATAAAGTTCACCAGAGGGAAGCCCCGGAACGGCTGGTTACCGTACCTCAACACACAGCTGATGTTATCAGATGGCAGCGTCGTCGTGAAATGGTATGGTAAGGAGCATTCCAAAAATATTATTTTGCACGCTAAATCTGGCCGTCCAGTCGCTGTCAAAAGAGCAGTTGTGCGCAACACGTTTAAACAGTCACAGAGATCTGCAGTGGCGAGGTAGAAACAAGAATCTCTGAAGCTTGCAAGGAAGGTTGCAGAAAACAACGGCTATTTTCCAGCAAGATCCAGACATTCGGGAAGAACACCTAATGGCAAACAACATGACCAAACTGGAGCCATGAATCCCTTGAATTATTTAACATTCATCTCTGACAAGGTCACATACAAGTTCAAACGTTGTCTCCAAGCACAGCTGAACCGAGATGTATGTTGTACATTCCTGCGAGCAACATCAAGCGACAGCTAGTACGTAATCGTCTTTATGATACGGCTTGTATCACACAAAACTGCGTTATGCGTCCTAATGGCAGAGTAGGGGATTGTGCCAAGTTTGGCGTAGTCTACGAACTCGAATGTCTGGATTGTCATGCAACCTATATCGGAGAGACGGGGCGTTTACTCAGCATCCGCGTTAACTAACATCTAGCCAGTAAAGAAACGGGGGAGCACGATGAGTCCACTCGGGAAACATAGAGTAAACCACGGCGGTAACGATTTTTGCCTTAAGTGCACGATTTTGGCGTATGAAAGTATTAGGTTGGAAACTAAGTTTTGCAACTGGTCTCATAACTTCCCTCTCACTCAACATGGCGCACTCAAATTTTGCCACTGCGTTGGTTATTACGTAAGCTACAAGCGCAGCTGCTGTCCTACCAAATTTTGACGTCGCAGTGAGGGTTACGGTAGGTGCATGGTATGAAGGGGAAAAATTCAAAGTTTGACGGATTTGGCTGAAACTTGGCATAGGGGTGTTATCCGACATGCTGATCACGATAACGATAGTGAAATTGCGTGACAAGGGCTTTTTATAGGATTACTGTAGGTGTACGATATGGGGTTTTACCCTAAGCAAGGAAAGAGGCGTTGATTCAACAAATCAATATGATATTCGTGTTTAGCAGGCCAAATAACCTTACTATGTAAAGTCTCGGTGGAATTTGAGCTTCGCACTCTTTATTCATTGACGGTGGTCCCCAGCAGCTCTTGCGTACATCGACTCTTTCGAGTTTATGAGGACGCCAAATCTCGACATGCTCCTAAATTTTGTTTCTTTCTTACTAGGCCAAAGGAGTCAACCTCCAGCAATAATTTGTAGAAGAAACCGGATTACTGCGCATAGTCTAGGCTGCCAAAGGCTTCATTTTAGCTTGAAACTCCAAAAATTCTCAGATTTCCTAGTTTTCGAAAAACGCCTGAAACTTTTCCATTTCGTGTTCGAAATTTGGACAATTTGTGCTCACTTGTAGCTCACATTGCCTTCTACATAATGCCAAAGTTTGAATGCGCCATATCCAAAGAGAGTGAAGTTATAAAACCAGTTGCAAAACTTAGTTTCCAGCCTAATAAAATTGCTGCTCGCAAAGCACTGGAAGCGTCGTTCATCCTCTCGCGTCAGCCAAAGATGAACGGCAAGAATGAACAGCTATCTATCACCAGCGATCTTATGCCGTTCATATCGTATTGTCAGTTATAAGATACCCACGACTACTTAAGCTGTCCATTAGTGTGACAGTTCAGTCATTTGTCATCAATCGATATGTTTTTCACTGGGTTGGAAATGGTGTCGAACAATAAGAATAAAGCGGTACCGAGCTCCCAGCATTTTTTCCAAAAATTTAAATATTGTCATAGCGTAAATATAGATTCTAGAAAGTATTTGACCTACGCAATGCATATGGCTGGCACAATCTATCGTTCATGTTAGCTGCCCCTCTTATGAATATGTTAAAGGCAGTGTCCCGGCAGATTCGAGCCTGGTAATCCCTCTAACCTTCAAGTGCAATCCGGCTGGTTGATGTTCCCCCGGGCCGAGAAAATAGCCATTGAACCTGCGCGCGCTCGGACGACTTTGCTTACCGATCGACGTGGAACCCTACGACTGCTCTCCCGCATTGTGCATGTTATCCAAAGTAAAAATTACATTCAGCAGGGTCTTCGTGCCAGGGTTTCCCAACTTTCCATTGAAGTTCTCGTCCGAGCGCCTTTTGGAAACTGGGTAAACGCCCCGGAAGTCCTGGCTTCCTTGCGGTGCATGTGTATGAATCAAAGTCACTTTTATGATCTATATGCGAAAACAAGTTACAGTCTTGAATCTTATGTAGACTTCTTCCAAACTTTTTTTTAAACATTTAGGGTAATATTTGAGAAAACATTGAACTCGTTGCTGTTGCAACGATCTCGCCACTGCTTATAAGGCCGTAATCGCGCATTCGCTCGCTCTCATATAAGAATTTTCTCCTAGCTCGAAGTTTGCAAAATAATGTCAGCAGGCAAACATGGGGTTTTAGTCTAAATAATTCGTACTAATTCGTGACCGTCATGAATGCTAAAAAAATGAAATACTGAGATAGCTAGCGTCAGCAACATCGGAAAGTGCATGTCCTTTTTTTTCAAATTGAAACTACGAAAGCTTGTTTGTAGATTTTTCCGAGATTAACAGGTCGTAGTTGACACAAATATTAGCAAGTTCCTTCGGTGAAAAAATTCTCCTCTTGCCCACAAAAAATGCTGAAAGTCTGATTAAGTATGGGAACTCTGGTCAGTACTTGGTACTGCTGCTAGTATCAGTACTGCTCACAAAAGTTCCTGACATTGACAAAGTAATTGAGTTTGCATGTAAGCTACTGCGATATTCGCACTATACTTGAGTTCGCTAGCCCAGTATTCTGGCCCACAAGATCTAGGTTCATGCTTTTGTGAATACCGGCGCTCGTCTTTTTGGGCTCGCGAACCTTCTCGGTACGTTTGTGAGTATCTGACTTCAGTCCTATGGCCGTATTTATCATCAATCCAGTAGGTTCCTGAATCCACTAGGTAGGAAGCGTAACTCAACAGAGCGGTAGACACGAAGGTACCGGGTTCCTGAATCTAGTGGTAAGTTTATGCTGGGGTCGTGTCACACCCTAACGTTTTTGTCATAGTGAAGGGTTTGACATGGGGTATGTCTGCGTTTATGTTACATAATAGCCTTTATTTCGTAATTTCAAAGAAGTGATCCAAGGCTGACTCGTCTTAATTCCTCTAAGTAATGATCGCTGAAAGCATAACCAGTGAAAACGAAATATAGGGTAAAGGAGATTCGGTCGAGCTCCTATCACAAGGCTTGTTTGATATGAGATTCCTTTCATACGCCAATAAGGATTAGTGCTTTGTATTGAGTGCAAAAAGGTAGGTACACTGCGAAAACAGAGTTAATTTTTGAAGAAAAGCATTTCAGCTTCTTTCTTTACAGCGAATTCTGATAGTTTTGAGGAAATACTTCGTCACCAGTGGCGTACCCAGGGTTTCGGCTCGGGGGGGGCGGCAAAAAATTTTTTCAGATGAAGGTGCGTGGCGTCAGTCACGCACTCCGAAAAATTTTTAGGAGGGAGTCATGGTAAGGGAAAATAGGGACTAGTGCTTTGTATTGAGTATAAAAAGAGTCAGCTAATTCACTTTTGAAATATAGTTAATCATCTTCGAAAATGTTCACTTCACTTGGGTGGTCCAATATTGATCCTCAGAATTTGCTAAAACTTGGCCCATGGTGGTTATTTCTCAGAATTTTTGCGGGCCCCCAGATCCGCATGAAATGTAACGCAAAGAAATGCCCATAGCTCTGCTCAAACCAATTTTCAAACGGGAACGGTTAACTTCTTCTGAAAGCTGTGAAAAATTTGCGTAGGCATCAATCATGTCCAAAAATGCATGCATCTGACTTAGATACATTCATTCAATCAGTTTCGTGAATTTTCGAGGATGCGCGGTGTCACTTTTCGTACTTGCCGTTAACGGGTTTGCCTTGTCTGATAAGTTTCAGAGGCGAATATTGCACTCTCTAGCTCCACTTGGATCAAGAAGAATTTTTGCGTTTTTTTGGATCCTGGCAGATGAAGAAAATGCTTGAATTTTGCATTTTTCCAAGAAACTCTTTCAAACAGTCCTTCTTTGGAAGTAAGGCCATAATAAGGAGGAAAACAGGAAAGCTGTAGAGAAAGTTGATTTATGTCTTGCGAAGCAAAAGAAAAGGACAGTGAAAAAATGAAAAACGAATTTTTTGAAAGCCCTAACACTTCATGTGGACCACCCTATAAGCAGTAGTTGTAAACATCTTTTTCTGCGTAGGTTCCCTTGAAATGGTCTCAATGGCTTTTCGTTCAACACCCGGCACGTACAAACGCTTTACTGCTTATAAGCGAAATAAGAAGCTGTGTGCGCCGCGGACGAACTACGTATGGGAAGTTCGTCGGGACATACACCATACCTTCGTTAAGCTAATATTTCGAGGTCGACCGTCGGCTCTGCGCTTGATGATGTTGTTCATGCTCTGCATAGACGGAAATGGCACAAATTATTAAAATTTTGTTATTGTTTTTGATCCGATCCTTTCCTGTTGAGCTCAAAATTGTGTTGTTGCTGTCTAACTTATCATTTTGCAGACTATCACATGCTCAAGCTGTCGCTAATTTCGCTCATATTTTTGGACATAACAGTACCACAGTCCACATGCTTGTTTGAACCTACTTCACTATAACTCAATGTATTGCAGTCAGAGATGCCGATATGTTGCAAACAAGAAGCATTCACTAGTAGAGGACTCTGAAATACTTTCGTAGAGGGTTCTGAAGGTCAAAAACTTCTTGGATAAATTTGCTTCAAAGATTTGTGAGGGTTGAGTACGCCAATCATAGATTTTTCATCCCATAAATACGTCATAGAACATCTTCTTTGTTGAACAAAGTCATAGAACATCTTCTTTGCATTGTTACAGATTTGATCGAACTAATTCATTTTGAGGAATCTAAAATTTGGTAATGACACCGATGTTTAAAATCCATATTTCTGTTGTGTGGAAACGTAGCAGATCATGCGTACCTAGCAGGTTTCCTCCAAGGGGTATGGGACTTCGAAGAATTGATAAGTTGTTAAGTTGCTATTATATGAAACATACGATATTTGTCAAGATGAAGTCCCAGCCAGCTAGCGTTTGAAAGCTTTTTTTGTCGATAGGGTGTAAACTTCGACCATAAGTTTTGCATTGTAAAATTATTCAGATTAGTCAGATCCGTACACCCGTACATACAGTTGTATATTACAAATAAAAAAACCAAACGTTCCAAATGAATCATGCTTTCATATTGTATGTATAAAGCGGAGATTTGGCAGGAGGAATTTTGAGTTTATTCATTAAAACCATTTTTTCTTAAAGTATATCGTAATCCTTCATGAAAACAAGCAAAATGTTCGTGCTGAAATGAATGGAAAATATACTTCGCATCAGTAAACAGAGCAGTGTGGAGACGTTTCAATGAATAGACCGACATCTGTTTCAGCTTGCATCAAAAGCGTCAAATGGAGCAACATAGCATGGATATCGTCGTGGCTAGCACATGGCTTACCATATTAGTCTATGCGGTGATCGCCAATGTTTTGCTAGTTATACTCATTATTAGTAGCACCGAAACACGTACACTTACCAGGTAGGAACCAAACTTATCTTGTACATTCCCTAATAAGTAATTCAGCTACTGGATTGTGATTTCCTTCTCCCTGAGTGAAATAGGTATGGCAATGACTGCTTTATGTCATGTGGTACCATTTACTTTACTACACGAGGCATTTTCCAAAAACGAATCGACCAGTGATTTTTTGATGCTATCAGGCTATCATTCATTTTGGGCTATATCCCTCATGCACCTAGTTCTGATGACTATAAACAGGTTAAAAAAGTGTACCCCATCTTCTTGCCACTGTTAAGCATAGTTTTTCAGATTTGTATGTATCCTTTACCCCACGTATTACTCAATAATTTTCTCTAAAACCAACACTATCTGCTTTTTGATTTTTTGCTACTTTTTGGGTGCTACACTTTCGATCCCTACTCTTTTTCCGTGCTGCTACATATTTCTGGATTCTTATAATTATGTATCTTACTATATCGACCAAAATTCATGGTAGGACAAACTTAGACTTGTGCTTCCGAATGGAGGCTCATATTATTGAGCAAGTTGGGTCAAAACTAGATTTTTGTCTTTTCTCAAATCGATCCGGGTTCGTATGAGCATGCTAAAATCGCGCTAGATGGTGCTTCTAGCGTACAGCATACAGCACACAGCTTTGATCGACTTCAAGCACTTGCTTAGCACGATTGTGAACTGATCACATAAAAAAGTTTCGCATCCATCTGCAGTAGGATCCGCTCCCTGCTAGTCTGCGAATAATCTAAAAAAACCATACTGACCTGTAAAATTCGTTTGTAGCGTTTTTGAGCGTCAAAGTAATGTTAGGATGGGATGATGGTGGAGTTCCGGGGCTCAGCTCCGAGCACAAAATTGTGCAAAGTTGTCGCCTTCAGAAAAAAAAACGGAAGGTTTTGCCAAATGTTTAGTGTTTAATACTGAAGGAGAAATGGCATACAAAATTAATTACGGAAAATAATAGGATGAACCGGAATTTCTGTCGTTTTGATCTTGAAAAAAAAGTACCTGATATCGAAAATTTTATCAGAAAGAAAAATTTATCCAATTTCTAATAACATCCTCGTGATTCTTTGGCGACATGGATGACGACGAAGACTCCAGAGAAAATTTAAATAAAGGAACTACTCTAACTCTAAATTTTCGAAAATAAATCGTCAAAAATTTGATACGCTGCAGAAAAATTTGAAAACATGTTTCTTACAGTATACGTAGCTGCTCTTCCTTAGGTGCCAAAGTGTGAGAGAAAGTTAGTTTCTGCTGATCGAGCTTCTCTATCAAAAGTTATGATTTTCGAAAAAAATGCGGAAAAAATGCCAAATAAATCATTTTTGTCTCATTTTCCCTCAAATTCTTCCATAGGAAAGTTCGATCAGTACAAACTTGGCACTGTTAGGAAGAGCAGTCCACGTAGGCTTTGAAACCATGTCTTTAGATTTTCCTGCAGCGTTTCAGATTTTTGAGATCTTATTTTCGAAAAACGGGAGTAAGAGCGTTTCTATTTCCAAATTTTTATCTCTGGAGTTCCTTCTCTTCAAGGAAAAAAAGAGTTGGAATTTCTCAAAACAAATACGTTTGAGGAGTCAAAACAACAGAACTTTTAGTTCACTCCAGTATTTTGGAGAAACGTAGGACATTTGAAGGCACCGTTTAGACGAATAGAGTGTGATGAGAATTTGATGCTGCACGATAACGGGGCCACTATTAAGCAGTTTCCCTTCTCGCTGCAAAAGAAGATTTTAAAGCGAAAAACTCCAAAAGGTAGAGACGGCTACGGTGGCTGCTCATCAACCTGGGTGGTCTGCTGACAACAATTCCAAACTTGGGCTTTAATGCATCCAGAGTTGTCGTAGATCCGCCCTTCATGGTAACCATTGAATATGCTTCCTTTCTGGTAAACTTGAAGCCTAAATTCGTACTTGTGTCTTCAGACCACTGACATTGATAAATGGAGCCAGCGTGGGCTTCTACCTTCTGGAGCTGTTTCCTAGCTTTGAAATCATAATTTTGCAGCACGACTGGCGACTGATTAGTTAGGGGCCTCGCTATTACGTAACATGAAAACTTATTACATTCAATTTAAGTGGAGTCTTTAATACCTGATATGCGCAAGTATGTACGATTTTGTTCGTCACGAAATGTTGGTATACAGCTAAAGAACAGCAAAACAGCAAAAGTTATTTGATGACTGCTAACAAGGAAAGGATACTCGGTGACCGTGGCCATTAGGAATGGGATGTACAACATAAGATGCACCTCAAAACGCTGATTCTGAATCTGTGCTCGATATCTGCGAAACGATTTCCTGAAGGAAGTTATGAACTTTTTTTAGAAAAGGAGTAATGCAATTTTGTTATGAAAAAATACCCTAATTTCACGCGTACAAGGCGCGGGGTGGTCCTAGCTTTCATCGAGCTGCTCAGCCGCCCCAACGTGTTTTATGAAGCGATCCTGATGCCGCAAGATTCGTCAGGCAAAACGCAGCACGGTATGGGGTTCCTTTGGTTGCGAAGTCCTTTGCCGTGTTCGAGCTGGTCGATGAAAGCTAGGACCACCCCGCGCCTTGTACGCGTGAAATTAGGGTAATCATAACTCCACCCAGGTTATCGTTTCGCAGATATGGAAGATAGTTTTTGAATCACCATTAGAAGGCGCATATTCTGATGTACAAGTCATTACGAATGGTTACGGTCACCAAGTATCCTTCCCTTGTAAGAGAAATAAAACACTTGTTGGCATGCAAGAAACGAAAAGAATCAAGTTAACGTGAGATAATGCTGCTTTCGCAGATCTTGGAACTTGCTTTTGCTTAAGCACTTCCGAATAACATAACGCACATGCTGAATCTACACAGTAATTTTTCAGTAACGGAGAGAGGTTAGCGATCTGCTAGATGTAAATTGAACCCGAAGCCAATACAATAGTCAACCTTGAAAGTCATTTACGTTGCTGAAGAAGGTTTATTTAAAGACGAACCCTGATGCATTTTTAAGCAGTCCGTAGTAGCCAAGACAAAGATGGCAGTTAAATTTATTAGAGACCCAGCATTCTATTTATATCGCGAGCTTTACTCTCTGACTTTTTGGCTCGCAAAAAACAAAAGGAGAATTCTTCATAGACAGAGAGCAGCGGTAGATTTCAATGCTTTTTGAGCAAGCCTTGTGGGATATGATGCAATCTTGCTCTTCACCCTCTCTTAGTTAACAGACGTGGAGTCATTTTAACTGAGATTATCTTAGGTATACTTATGTGGACGTGGTGATAAACGCGGTGGTCCTTATCATAACCGTCACTTCTTATGCAGCTGTACTGAACAAGATCCGCACCTTCCGCGGTCAATCTCAGGTAGATATTCCGTTCCGTAATAACCCAGAAAGCATCCGCTGCGTTTTTCAGCAACATGTGAACGACGCACAGAGCGCCAATAAACAGAATTCTAGATTGGAAATTCGGCTACTCATCCAGGTAAGTGTGATTACTATATACTGCTTGACAAAGCGAAAATATAGCTGCATTCTCACTCTCAAAAAGTTTTTAAATTGCAAACTTTCGTGGCTGGTACGTGCATGACAACAGATTTAACAGAAAAAAACAATGGATTTTAAGTAAACATTGCGAAAGTGAACAGAAGAAATGCTAGCCGAAGGTGACTCTACAGCTTTTGCTTGCAATTCTCATCCTGTCTTGAGCACCTGCTTACACGCGAAAAAATGATCTTCATCGAAGTCTTAATTCTCAGAAACAAGCTACAATGCTATATCATGTACTATATATTCTAGCACATTACGACAGTACACAGAATGTGAAAAGTTTTGGCGAAATCGGCGAATTCGCCGACTTCACGACTTCAACTAAAATCTTACCTAAGGGACTATCAACTAACGACCTTAGGGGAGTTTGGGGCGGATATATTTGTAGTGCCTAAGTTAGAGCACAGATATTTCCAGTGCCAATGCTTTGCAAAGACCATTCTCACATAGCTTTGCTAAGTGAGGATTCACACTTTCACGGAAAGGAAACTTCAAAACTCTTTGAAAAATTAGAGGAAGGGATAAAATGTCATTTACAATTTACTACAACGAAGCAAACAATCATACATAAAAAGCAATTTCAGCCTTTCAGCAATCTCACTCTTTCCCCTTTTCTGATCTACCCTTTTCTCACTTTCCTAGGAAATTTACTTCAAAAGTAGCAGTTCGCTCTAAACCTTTATACAAAAAGAGAAGAACACGAACTTTGAAATGCAATTACGAGCCCTTTCTGGAGAGATTAGACGTTAGACAACATGATTAGAATAATAACCCAAATCGAGGAGAGTTTTATAGAATTTTCATGCAACGAAAAGACTCGATTTAGGGTTTTATCTCAATTGTTGACGGGCAAAAATCATCTTCTCAAAGTTTTCCCTAAACATTCTTTAACGTTCTTTATCTTTCCAAAGTTTCTGAAAAATTCTCCAAAATGGAGGCAAGCCAGCAATTTTCAGTGGAAGCACTCTGTTCTTCTCTACTAAAATCTTGCCACCATTCTGGCCTTGAATACAAAATCAATTCTCTTAAGACGACATTTTTGAAGAGCCCTAAAAATCATTTTTCTGTTGATCAATACGAGGATTCACTTTCAAGAATGAGGAACCATTGAAAAACTTTGCATAGGACTTACTTGTTTCCGCTTTCAGCTTGTCAAAATTTTTTGCGAGTTTTGGTTCATGCGGAAGATATCGGGTTTCCTCTTTTTATCACCGAAAAATGCCCTTGACTGTCTACCGGGTTTTCTAGGGAAATCCAAGTACGAGAGAAACCACAATATAGCGAGTAAAATAGTAGCGAAACTAGTAAAAAAAAAACATCGGACATTCTCATAAATTTCGGAAAAGAACCAAAGACCAACTGATCCCTCCTCAGTCAACAGTGTACTCACATAACGAGAGCAAATTTTGCGAGAAAGTCCCTGTTTATTGAAATTTACATCAATCCTTGGTGAAGGAAGAAAAGAGGCAATAATTTTTTCTAATTCCACGAATATGTCCAACCAGGTTATCATAGACTCAATGCATATTGACTCAACTTACGAGGACCTTAAAACAGCGATCTATCCAAATTGCAAGTCCCTACACCTTTATCGAATAAATCTCCTCTTTGCCGGCTACCTAAAGATTTTCGTGAAAATGACTTTGAAGAAGGATATATGGCACTCAAGGTTTCTTCAGAAACTACAATCCTGTAGGGTTTTGATGACGGGAAAACTTGAACACCATCTCCGCTTTCCTTTTCACAAGATCTCACTCCAATGGTAGGAGCCTCCCCTCCCAAAGGAAACGTAAAAGTGATTCAATTTAACTTTTTTTTCAAAATCCTCGAACAATCATTGGCAAGTGGAAAGCAAGTACAGAATCAATTCAGCTTACAAAATAAGTTCCCAAGACATTTCCCAGCAAGTTCGATGTAACATTGCAAAGGCAACAAAGCACTCATGACAGCGATGCATGCAAGGAACTGTTTCTTTTTCGCGATTAGCCTCAACCTTCGAAGTCTTTGACAGCGAAAAGGTTTATATAAACCTCTTTGGGCCAAATTTTTCCAACTTCTCATCGACAGTCACTGCGAAAGCAACTGAAACTCAAGATGATTTCCATAAAAAACAAGTTTTAGTTCTCTAACCCTTTCAAGAGCATTGGCAAAATAAACCACATTCTTTCAAGATTGTTTAGGGACATTCTAAGTCAAGTTTCTACTAAATCATATATCTGACACTATGCAGAAGAGGTCCCTCTCCAAAAATAAAATTTTTTGAGCAGTTCATATGTGCTGTTGCTGTATTTTTTTATCAGCTAGAAATCAAGAAACCGAAAATTTTCATGTTCCAAAGTGATGCTGTGCTGTTCTTACACTAAAAGTTGTATACTACAAACCCTTAGAAGTACAACCGTAAATTTTTAGCTCTCTATAAGCTCTGGTTTCCGAGAAATGTTGATTTAACACATTAACGATAGCTTGACACACATGGTGTGTCAAGCAATGACTGCCGCGTGGGACCGCTTGACACACCATGTGTGTCAAGGTTTGAATTCTGTCAAAATGACTACTATTTTGGGATAAATTCGTTCCATGAGCTCTCTTTTGCGCTGAATCTAAGGATGACCTCTACTTTTTTTGTCAGCCTTTCAGATCTACTGTAGGTGTACTGTAGATGGCATTATGCGTAGTCATAGTTGAGAACTGTGGGCTGGTCCGTAAAAGGCCTTGGTTCCAGACGGCAGGCAACTAAAAATCTGCATGGTCGTCAATGTGTTAAGCGTGAAAAACCCGAGTGAAGAAAGCTGAATTTGATATTTCTCGTGAAGCAGAGCATATGGAGAGCCAAAAATCTACGGTACTACTTCTAAGGGCTTTTAGTATACAACTGTTAGTGTAAGAACAGCACAGCATCACTTTGCTAGAAAGGTGGAAATTTTCGGTTTCTTGATTTCTAGCTGATAAAAAAATACAGAAACAACACATATGAATGTCTGATGTGGAATGTATATGCGTGAGCGAGTTAGAGGTCTGTAGGATTTTTTTCAACGAAGATATAAAAAGTTTTCGGTTTTTTGGGCGTCCGAAACTTTTCAGATTTTGGTTTAAAACTTGAGATGGACCAAAGCTTGTGCAAAAGCGTAAAAGCCATCTTATAGAGCTTGCTTTGCTCTATCGAATGGTACCCTGAAGTCTACTTGGAATGACAAGTGTGTGACTTATTATAGCGAAAACTCAAAAATGAAAAGATTTATGGGACAATCCAATACCAGACGCGCACAAATTAGTCTATGCATAAGCACAAACACCCTACGAACCGTTTACAAACAGATATTCGGGAAAGGATTTGGGGCGTGAACGATTCGTTCGACCATGCTTTCCATACAGGACCACCGCCGTGCGTGACACGCAAGGGCCGCACAGATCGCTGCATCCTTTCGTAAAGGTGGAGAGGATAAGTAGTTGTAGCCCAAACAGTCAAGGGGTTCAACGCAAGGGGTTTTCAGCAATGCGTATGTAGAAAGAATAGAGTGACAACACGATTTCAACTTCTTTTTGATTGTTATCGAAAATCCTGGTTTTTTGTGCCGAGTTTCAATGAGAAACTGTTTTCAAACAATGGATTGCTTTCAGCAAAAATTTTTTTAAAGCGATGTTTGTGAATTCCTAATTGGTCTTATTCAGCATCGCAAAGCACACTTACTTCACGATCCTGCAAGATTGCCCATGTGCCCCCTTTACCTTAATGCAGAAGTGATAACTTTTGAGATATCCGATCTAAAACGGCAACACGAGTGTAAAGGCAACAAATCATTAAAAACTAGACAGTGTATGCAGCTAAAAACAAAAGAAAACATCAAATTCAAAGACGGGCAGTTTGGCGTCGAATTTTAGCCGTATGTGCACTTGGTGCAAGTACGGCACAGCGGGAGCCCAGCACCTCATCCGTGATTTGAAAATTGTGACAGTAACACACATCGCACCGAGGTGACTAGACGGATGACGTCTGCTATACAAGCCGTATTCTATGATCATGTAGTACTTGCATAAATTCGAACCACAAGCAAGCACACTAGCATCCTTGGCAGCTTACAGCAAGATGGTCATGCCCCAAAGTATAGTCTCTAGAACTCGAAATCCGTAACAACAGTAAATCGTGGACCACGTATATGGAACTTCTAAACACATTACATTATAATGCAAAAAATCTTCGGATGTTGCCTGTTATGGTGGCTACCGTGTCGCTCCGTGCACGAGTATCGAAAGATACAAATAATTTTTGATCTATTATATACTAGCTGGCTTACCCGGCTCCGCCGTATCCGGACCAAACTTGGCACACATACACTTCGGGCCCCGGCGGGTGTCACAGTCCACTTTTCGTTATCGATCGATGTCGATTTTACCGATTTTCATCGATTTTTTTTGCAGAGTTCACCTACAGGGCTAGGAGTTGGCACAGGGGGGGGGGAAGTGAGCATGGGGATTCCGAATACAATATTAGTTTTCAGAATTATCGATTGCTTTTATTGATTTTATCGATTTTTTGTAAATTTCGACATGCGAGGCTGGGATTTTGCACAGGGGGTAATCGAGCATGCTGATTACGAACACAATATTAGTTTTCAAGATCGTCCATTACTTTTATCGATTTTATCGATTTTTTGAAAATTTGAGCTAGGGGGCTGGAATTTGGCACAGGGGTGTAATCGAGCATGTTGATCACCCCCCTTGGGGGTGATCAGCATGCTCGATTACCCCCCTGTGCCAACTCCCAGCCTCCTAGCTCAAACTTTGCAAAAAAATCGATAAAATCGATAAAAGTAATCGATAATCCCGAAAACCAATATTGTATTCGGAACCCCCATGCTCGATTACCCCACTGTGCGAACTCCCAGCCCCGTAGCTCAAACTTTGCAAAAAAAATCGATAAAATCGATAAAAGTAATCGATAATCCTGAAAACCAATATTGTATTCGGAATCCCCATGCTCGATTACCCCCCTGTGCCAACTCCCAGCCCCGTAGGTGAACTCAGCAAAAAAATCGATAAAAATCGATAAAATCGATATCGATCGATGACGAAAAGTAGCCTATGACACCCGCCGGGGCCTGAAGTGTATGTGTGCCAAGTTTGGTCCGGATCGGTTCAGAAATGGAATTTTCTATTCGGAACATACGTACATACATACATACATACATACATACATACAGACATACAGACAAACAGACATTCAGCTTTATATATAAGATTGACGGAGGCTTTTTGATTTGACCAAAAGTTTATTTTCCATGGAGACGACCAAATCAAAGCATTGCTTCTGCTTTTCTTGTTTTCTTTTGAGTTGTTCTGAAGTACTGATAGGTAACGCGTCCCAATACAGTTAGCGGCTGAAGCTGTCGCGTTTGCGTAAACATTCAAGAACCATCTGCTCTTCTTGATTTAGTTAAGCCGCGACATGAATTTCGCCATTCTATTTTGCCTGTAAGTGTCAATTATTAACACAGTAATCCAAGTTGTTGCATTTAATGAGGTACACCAATTTTTGATTGAGCATATCGTAATTGATCAAGGGCAAAATGATAGGGAATGAAAAGCTCTTTTGTCTTGAAAAGCCTAGAAGAGACTTGTGCATGCCGTGGCCTGACAGGAAGAGGCTCGCGGAATTTTTTTAGGCCATTCAAAGTGGCGTGATTATATGTGTAGAGATTCTGGCTTCATATTTGCTTGGCTTTCGTTCTACCGCAACACGCCGAGCTTTGTTCTAATCTTGCAAAAATTCAGTTCCTTGCTGGTTCACTGATTTACTTGCTTACATGGATAACTTGGCAGTGGCTGCCTCGTCTCTCACCATCAAAATGGATGTTCTTCGTAATGATGTCGTTCTCCTTTTCCAACAATGCAGTGAGATTTATTCTTGCAAATTAATTACTCAATAATAAGCTGTTCAGATGAACCCGACAATCTACCTTATATGTAACAAGAGCCTGCGTGAAAAGCTGCGTCATTTATTAGGTTGCAGATGGCACAAATGGCATAAAACAACCATGACTATATTGACTAGAACATCGCAGACTGGAAGAGTAAGATAAGAAATCATCAAGTGTCAGTAGTAGCATTCTATTCTATTTTTAGAGCTGAACTCCTGCGTTCCGAGTGTTCAGCGAACAACACCTACTGTAGACACGTATACCCTCTCGTTTACTCCGTATGTTAGTCGTTATAGCTTGATTCTATGAATTTATCAATCTTATATAATGCTGATAGTGTCCTCATGCATAATGTTGTCTTGTTCTCTTTATTGACAAGTCGGCATTCCCCATCACGCCCGGGTGAGGGCGTCCATCGATCCGGCACAGAATCATGCTGTTCATAGGGCATAGAGAAAATATGTATTTTTCAAATCACACTCTCACTCCCTCCTCTCATTTTTACTGCATTTCTTTCTCTCGTTCAGAACGTTTTAACCCTTTGCCACTTGACAGATATACTGCGTTGCAGGGTCCCCGGTACTCCGATACCAATGTCAACTCATCTGCTATATGATTCTAGATTACCCATCTTTGAACCGAAATGAGATCTACTCTTGTTGTTTACATGAAACCTTGGATATGACCTGTTAAAGATTGATAGAAGTTTTTTCATTGCTTACTTACTTACTTAGGGGATACACAGTGGCCGTGGCTTTCTGATATCTTTATCTTTTATCTTCATGCACACAACGTGCGCTATAACAAACAGAAATCGGAGGGTTAGTACTCCAAAAACTCACCAAACCCACATCAGTAACACAGAACATAACGAAGGTACGAAGTCTACAAAATATTACTTAGCAAAAATGAACCTTTAAGTGTTTCTTCTATACGTAGCAAGCTTGAGCTAGTAGCACGATAGCCTCAACGGATAATGATTTGCACCCGTCGGCCGAGTGTGCTATGGTGTGCCCAACACCAGATGGCATGCCTGGATCCTCACGCTAGACAGGTATACCCGACTGAACCCTGTCGGACCAGGCTTACCAGCAAGATAATACCCTGGGCAAGCTATGCGGGCTACTAGTATCTCAAGGCGAGCTCAACAGAGTAAGACAGAATTCAATAAGAGGTGGACTTAGCGTGTTTCAGTTATGACACATCTTCTAAATTCAGCATACTAAGAAGTTCATTATCGAGCAAGAATTCCCTGAAATTTTCCGTATTGCATTGGCAGAAGACTTCAACGGGAAGACAGTTGATTAGGCCACACACACGGCTCGCAAAAGCCTGTTGTAGCACCATCTTACGCCAACCACCAGACCTCGGAAAAGAAACATTCAAAGTAGGCCGATATGACATATCTATATATATTAGGTGGGTCCGAAAGTTTTGTCAGTTTTTTTCAATCCATCGGCAAACACGCTAGATTGAAGATAAACAAATGCTTCAAAATGTATCCAATGCAGAATTTCTTCCTCTTTCTAGCAGCTAAACACACATTGTGTTTAGTTGCGAGAGCGATGAGATATTTGCTGGAAAGTACAACCACTCGTTTTTACCATGTCCAACTTTCGCTAATTTTCAAAATAATTGTATGAGACTTTCGGAGAAGCCAGGGTATAGGGCAAACCTTTTGCCAACAGATGCAATTTTTTGTGGCCCTGTGGCGTGTCTTTCAGAATTTCTACGATTTATTTTTTGAATTGATCAAATTTTACATTCAGCTTATCTTAACCTCGTAGAACATTGAATGTCCAACACTTCAGATACCATTCGATGCAGATTTTTCTCCTCTTTCTAACACTTGTCTTTTTTTGCCGGGACAAGCAAAATTTGTGGGGAAAATTGCAGTATTTGTCAAAGTCAGGAGTGCGCACTGACGTAACCTATGTTTCAAAAACTTCATACTTTGGAGCGAAAATTGCTCATTTACTTTGTAATGGTAGTATTGTAACAAACATGTGTTGAAACCTCAGTTTTCTGTAGGTTTTGCAGTGTTTGGCGCAATAACAGGTTATGCGATTTTTCCGAAACACAAGACTTTTAGAAAAATAATTGCAAAAATCTGAGAAAGCAGCTGAAAAAAAGAAAAAAGTTGCATTTGGCAAAAGGTTTGCTTTATCTGGTGGTTATTGGAGCTCCTCCAAAATTCTCATACAACGTTATTGAAAATTAGCGAAATTTGGACATGGTAAAAACGAGTGGTTGTAATTTCCAGCAAATATCTCATCACTCTCGCAACGAAACACAATGGAAGTTTAGCCGCTGGAAAGAAGAAGCAATTCTGCATTGGATACATTTTGAAGCGTTTATCTTCATTCCAGCGTGTTTGCCGACGGATTAAAAAAACTGACAAAACTTTCGGACCCACCTAATATATAAAACTCAATGTCTGTGAGGATGTTCGTTTAATTGTTCGTTCGTTATAGAAACGCCAGCCATCGAACCGATTGAGCTGAAACTTTGCACACGTATGTTTTCGACCCCGGCGGTGGTTTAGGGCTACTTTCCGCTGCGATTCACTGGACCCTTTTATCGATTTACTGGTTTGTTTACTCAAATCTAGAAGAATGAAAACTTTTCATGCTCCCCGCTGCGATTCACTGGACCCTTTTATCGATTTACTGGTTTGTTTACTAAAATCTAGAAAAATGAAAACTTTTCATGCTCCAACCGATCATTTCTCCATGATCATGTAAGCAGGGCGGTAGAGTCCATTTCTATTTCAAAGTCGGGAGGATGCGGCAAGTCGTCTCAAAGCGCTTTTGGCGCACGTTTGAAGAAGTTTAGAAGCGTAAGTTCACACGTTTTGTTAGCTAAACTAATTTGGAGCCGGGCTATCAGCTAGTGTCAAATATTCGCCTTGAAACACTGATCTTAATACTGTATTCCTTATCGCTGGAACGATATTTGAAAAACCGTATTTCCCGCATTTTATAGACGAGGTCAGCATTTCAACGCAAGCATTCTGATGTATAACATATCTTACAAGAGAATGGTCAGAAGTCGAAGTGGCCAAACCAAACAAACTGTATATCATTCGATGCAGTATAAAACGCTGACTTCGAATCTGTCTTCCTTATCTGCTTCCCGCTTCTGTGGACGAAGCTACAAGCGGTCTTATTGTGAAAAAATCATACATAAAAACAGCGAAATCGAGCACATTGTTGCAATTTTAGCTCGGCTTCTGGCTTCAAAAATTTTGAGTAAGCTTGCTGCATGTTTTGGCCCAGCATTGAGGCGAACGAGGTTCTGTACGGCTAAATCTTCAATTTCACGCAGAATTTCTAAGCAAAATAATGGTCTTTAAAGGCAGTGGCTCGGCAAATCGCAAGCTAGTCAAATTTTTGCTTACCTGGGGTTATTCAATACGCTGGTCCCGAAAATCCACTTTAGAGAGCTTGATAACCTTGACAACTTCAAAGGGAAGGGCATTCAAAAACGCAAAAACATGCGTATCTGAATGCCCTTCCCTTTGAAGTTGGACGAGTGGAGCAATGCTGATGACGCTGAGTCGTTGCAGGACCCAATGGTTATAGCATTGCGGCGGGCAGCCTCCAATGGTGGGAAGGAAATTGACAACTCGTCCGGGCGCGTGTAAGATTGGCTTCGTGTAAGTTTGAGAACAGTTTTCCCGGCAGGGAAGGCATGCTGTGCAACCGGATTTGCACTGTTTTCATACTTGGGCGATAAGGAACCTACTGCGTTAAAATCATGCGTTGTTAAGTTTTGCCGATCCACTGCCTTTAATGGCTTATAACTTCGTCCAGAAAAGCGATAAGCAGATAAAGAAGACAGGTTTAGAGTCAGCGCTTCATGCTGCATCTAACGCTACGCAGCTTGTCTGGAATGCCACTTCGATTTCTGACCATTCCCTTGTTAAAAGGCCATAGTCACAATTATCCTTCCCTTTTAGATACTTAGATGACCCGTTTTCACGTGTCTGTTCATTGCATCTTGAAAACCAACAAATCAATAAATTTCTAGAAGAGCTCGCGAACCGCCCAAAAAGTAGCCTATGGCAATTTCCGCGGTGCAAAAGCTATGTGCATAAAGTTTTAGCTCTATAGGTCCACGCACGAAGGAGTCCATAAAAGCATACACTTACTGCACTTACAAGACTGCTGCTCTGTACTTGCGTTGTCTCACCAATGCACGTTTTCTATTCTGTAATTTCTATTTCCTGAAAACTCTACATATTATGTGAAAGCCCGCTTCTTCTAGTTTCTTACTCGCGAATATTTATTCATACCATCTGTGCTTCTAGTTAAAAGTAAAACTTGAACTTTTTTCTCCATTTATCCCTTTGAGTCCACGACAAATAGACGATTTTGTTCAAATAAGCGCGGTGGTTTCGTCTGCTACAAAAGTTATTAGGTAATATGAATTTTATCAGAGAAGTTGTATAGAGAAATTTGAACTCAAACTTGGCTGTTTGTTGGGATCCATGTGATTCTTGAAAAATCTTAGGAGGAAGCGATTGCACAACTTTTGCTCTGCTCAGTTAGAGTGGACACAGTGCAATTTAGGATAGAGAAACGGCAGGTTTATCTCATTTTTTGATAAAATTATTTCTATCGAAAGCAGTTTTTGCTTTTTGGCGAGAAAAAAAAAACGTGGTGGTGATGACGAGGAAAAAGCAAATACTTCGATTTCAATTTTTTTGCGATTTTCTTGCGAAAATTTCCGTAAAATCCAGGCTTCGCTGCTGAAACGACCATCAGCCGTCAATTAACGAAGTTTTCGCCATTATACTGCATTTGACTGGAAACTATGAACTCTCAAAACGAGGCTTGAAGAAAAACTTTTAGCAAATTTCGATCTAGCAAAACATCCCTCCCCCCTGGTTACATACATTATATAAAAAGTCTATGTTGTATAGCCAAGGACAGCCATTTGTGATAGCGTATTGCACTCAGAAAGATGGTTTTAAGGACAGTTATCTTTAACTCTGTGAGAAGTTATGAATATCGAGTTTACTATGGAAAACACCAAAATTGATTAATTTGCCAATTTTCGCGCAAATCATAACTTCTCACAAGGACGTCCAAACAGCACAAACTTTTCACAGATGCAAAGGGTAGGCCAAAAAACATATGTACTGACGATTTCAGATTTTTCTGCAACATTCCAGATTTGGTGACCTAACTTAAAATGGTCAAAGTT